CTCTAAGATCAGGCCAGGAGGCCCTTCTGAAGGTGCCATCCCTGAAAGAGGTGAGGGGGATGGCATGTCGAAATAGGGCCTTCTCGGCTGTTGCCCCCCAACTTTGGAATGCCCTCCCTGTAGAGATCCGCCTGGCTCCGACACTCTTGGCTTTTTGGCGCCAGGCAAAGACCTTTCTGTTCAGCCAGCATTTTAATTAAACAGTATTCCCTAGCTGGCCACATGAGCAGCAGGACTTATTAATTTTTAATGTTTTAAAAATTGTTTTAATATATGACATTTTATATTGTCTTTTAAAATGTTTTTAATGTTTTTAAGTTTTAATGTTGTACGCCGCCCAGAAGCCACTGGTAATGGTGCAGCTAAAAAATATTGTAAGTAAATAAATAAATAAACAAACAAACAAACATAAGCTTTCTTCAGCTGACAATGGGCAGTTACATCTAAGTAGATTTCTCTTCACCTTTACCTAGTGGCTCTGATATTGTAATGTACTATTTAAAAGGGTAAAAAGAAATTATATCGAAATCAATAGAGTTACAATAGGGAGGAAATGAATTCATGCTGTTATTCTGTGTTCATTACAATTATTCCCATGTGCTCCCTTTCTAATGGCAGGTGATGCCTTGTGGGGATAGCAGAGCAGAGGGGCAGGCTCATCAGAGGCAGAGCACTCTTTTGAATCCCTATCATTTATACTACTAAAAGAAGAAATGGAGGCACATGACCTTTAAGTTAATTGGTACAAAACAGAAGGGGAAATTCATCCACCTATGCACACACACTTTTTGACTCACTTTCTCACGTTTCAGCTCTCACTAGATAGAAAATCAAGTGTTATACAAATAATGAGTGCAAAAGAGTGGAGAAATTCATATAGCCACACATTAGTACTGGCTGATCCATTACCACCCTTTGCAAAGATGGACACGGACAGCATGTTGGCAGAACTAAGGATGGGATTAGAAAAACCGTTGTTGAACTGCTGGATAGCTTCATGGTTTAGGTCAGTGGTTCTCAAACTTGGGTCCCCAGATATTCCTAGACTCCCAGGAACTCCCAACTGGCCGGCATAGTGAGTGGTGAAGGCTTCTAGGAATTGCAGTCCGAGAACATCTGGGGACCCAAATTTGAGAACAACTGCTTTAGGTTCTCTGGCTTTGGAGCCAAAGTTTGGGAGTTCAGTTCCCCACTGTGCTTCCCAGACAGGGACTGGACTTGATGATCCATAGGATGCCTTCCTGCTCTGCAGTTCAAAGATTATATTACATCAATCAACAAGTTCTGAGACCATCCAAGCTTTGGAGGGAGGAACACCAATACACTGCTGTGCTGTGCTTCAGATTTTCACTTGAATCTTAACTAAAGGTCAGGATAACTGTCAGAAATAGAGGGAGAGGCTAGGGGTCCCTTCTGAAATTTGTGGCTAACTATGAATGTGGGATTAGAGTTTGAGAGTTCAGTAGCCCCTATGAAATTTTGATCTAACAAGTGTATGCCAGCTTTTCTAATCATTTGCTTGAAAACCTCTGTTGTACTGTATTAGCATAGAAATTGCCCACTACAATCTCACAGAAACTCCCTATTTCTGGAAATCTTGCATGTTAGGAAAAAGACTAGACTAAAGCCTATTCCCCTACCATATTAGGTTTCCATAGAGATCTTGATGCATTCTGTAATACTGGCACCCAAGAAGTAAAAACCAAGTATTTTTCTCCCCTAGAGAAAACAATGCTGTGCATGAGCCTATGTCAGGTTTTATTTAAGATGTGGTGGGTTTGCTTCCCGATTGAGAAACAACTCATAATATAGGGCAACATCAGCCTATGGACACGGGCATCAGGAAACCCCTGCTGATATGTGTAGGTCCTAATGCCCTAAAGAAAAACACACATCTTTAGCCACAGGCTTCCCATGTAATCTGAGACAATGATACAGAAGTGCTATGTCTCAAAGGTCCCCAAAGCAACATTTTCAGATCACTGATAATCCAGCGCAATAAGGGCTTTTGTTGAGTTCAGCTTTGTCTCATTGTGTCACATTGGACAATGGCTATTTCTTATGTTTTATCCACTTTCTTTGACAATATAGAAATTTCCAATTTGCTCTCTTCCATTTGTATATCATCCAAAAAGAATATATTATAATCAGTTGTGCAGTGAGGGAAAAGAGAAATGTCTCATCAGCATTCGTGTTGAAATGAAGTATGGCGTTATTTCAACAAGCCTCAGCATACATAAAACAGCTGCTCATCCTGGTTCCACAGTTTTTTCCCTACCCTGGGTGAGTGGCCTGAGGACAAACAAATGGTTTGGCAGAGTGTCCATCTACATGTGAGGCCCACATACCTTCATCTGAGACACAAAGCCAGGGTCAGCACTTTTATGCTGTCAGACAAGATACAGTTGGCTCCTTGTATTACCTGACTGGTGCTGTGTTTGCTGTAGCATCATACTTTAGCCAGGGGTGAGGCATGTTTGGGTGGAAACACTGTCTACTAGTAAACTCCAGCTTAACAACTTGAGTGTCTTACACCGGCCTACTTGAAGAGTTTAACTGCCACATTACATTTGCTTGGCAAAAAAATCATGCCTCACTGTGGCGTCTAATAATTTTGAGCATTACTTTCAGGGACCAAGTTTGCAAAAGAGCAGATGCTTCACATGCAGAAGAGTCCAGATTTGTTTTCTGACTTTTTCAAGTAGGAGGAGGGAAAGAACTCTTGTCTGAAGCACAGGAGAACCAGTACATGTAAACCAGAAGCAGACAGCTAGCTTTATTGATAGATATGTGGAAGAGGTACAGTAGGTCCATAAGAATATCTGGTTCCCACATGTCCAGCAATTGCACCAATAAAATGAGACTCCATCCATTTGCCCAAACCGTATTTCTGAAATATAGCTTGGAGTGGATATGTGTGTGTAAAAAAAGGTTGCATTCCATTTATTTCTGGTACAGGTACTCATAACAAATTTCTGGACACTGAGTTCTTTGATTTTAAATAGGTATCTTTTGCTTCAGACTTCCTTTTTGGAGATTTCAGAATCCTCATAAAAATGAGATAGATCCTGGAAGCCTGAAGGGCAAGCAACATTGAGGTGGAAGAACCAATGGTTTCGTAGTATAAGACAGCTTTCTGTTATTGTATGAATACTCTGCATGTAAAGAGACTGTGCAGTGATTAAGAACTCTTTAAGCATGATGCCAGCCACATGGAAAAAAGAATGGATCCGTCCTAGCATTTTCCTTAACCCAAGGAGAGGAGGAATGTGGCATTATAATGCCGTAAGTGACCAGAAGGAAGTCCCAAAGGATGACTGGCTGTCTTGTAATAACCTTAACAGTATGGAGAGTGAATACATGATGGGAGAGTTTGGGGGGAAAATTCAAAATAAATGTGATTGTCTACTGAAGCTTCAGTCTCTTTATTTCCAGGTGCCTACCAATTCAAAATTCCAGAATCTGCTCCCCCTGATTCGCCAGTTGGCAGGATAAAAGCTACTGATGCTGATGTGGGTCAGAATGCAGCAATGGAATACAGCATAATTGAAGGGGATGGCTCGGAAATGTTTGGCGTCATCACAGACAAGGAGACACAGGAAGGCATTATAACAGTGAAAAAGGTGCACATTTTTACATGATTTACTTCCATCTCTAGTGTGTTTTATAGCATTGGCTATATTTTTCAACCAGTGAGTGTTGTGCTGTTGCTAACAAAATGCACAATACAGTATATTCTGCAAAGAGAGCAGAGGAATGGAAATATCAGCCATTGATAGAAAATGGGGTGGGTGCCCAGATTAAGTCACCATAAACAGCTTGGAGACACTGTCGGCTGTTCTCACCACCACCCCTGCACATCTCTGGCAGTTCTCTAGACATTTCTCTGATAATCCTCTTAAACCTGGGTCCAGAAATTACTTCATCATTGCTGCATCCCAGTGCTCGTTGCCACCATGCCACTTCTCTTCTTTCACCTCATGCTCTCCTTTTGAAGATTTCCAAGAGGGCCAACATAACAAAAGGAGAGGGGTGGGCAACTTCAGTGGGTCTGAAGTTTTCCTCCAGCCAGGACCTCCTTCAGCTTGCCACTATGTCACTGAAATTTAGCAGTGTATCATTAAGATTTAGTATTGATTTCACTTCTTTATTTACTTCATTTCTGTCCCAACCTTCTCCCAAAAAATGGCTCAAGGTAGCTTTTAAAGACTTTTAAAAATGTTACAACAAGATGTTTGCTTTTATTGGTTTTCCTGGTTTGCTACTAAATGTTGTCAGCAAGCCAGGGAAACTGATCTTTAGTGAGCAGGATAGCTCTGTGGTTTAGGCATCTGGCTATGGAGCCAAAGGTTGGGGGTTCGATTCCGCACTATGCCTCCTAAACAGGGGCTGGACTCAGTGCAGCAGGCTTGTGGGCTGCATGCTGCATTTTGCCAATTTCTGTACTGTAAGGATGAACCTGAATTCAAACACTCCTTTTCTTCTGTGCTTCCATATCTTAATTTGCAAACACACATGCATACCTGAAATCTATACATTGTTATTAGGGGACATGTTCTGCATATAAAAGTAGTACCTAACAGTTTGGTGTCTCGTGGTTTGGAGGAGGAGTTTGAAAGAGTTTATTTTTAATGAAACTTGTATTACTGTTGTATTCAGTAGTTGTGATTTAAAATGAGATTAGTGAACAAGCTAGCTGTAAAAAAAATGGGATGACTTATTAAACAGGATTGGAGGGAGGATTTTTAATTGTTCTGTACAAACCAACCAAAAATGTTAAATTGGTGTTTGCCTTCCATTAATAAAATAAAGTGTGCACTCCAGTCAGTTCTTACTTATGGCAAGCCCTTTCAGGATTTTCTAGGTATATAGTACTCAGAAGTGGTTTATCATTCCCTTCTTCTGTGGGTGCCCTGGTACTGTTCAGCTACACAAGCTGATTGTGGGGAACGGAACTCCTCTTGGAGACACTGACTAAGAAAATGCTGCACACATAATCCCATGAATTATCATTGTCTCTGTGCCAAATATCAGATATCAATGTAACAAAAAAACGATCCGCAATGTTGATAACGTCAGTTGAAACTCAGTAATGTAAGGTTACACTGCAGTAATCCCATGAATTATCATTGTCGCTGTGCCAAATATCAAATATCAATGTAACAAAAAAAACGATCCGCAATGTTGATAACATCAGCTGAAACTCAGTAATGTAAGGTTACACTGCATAAGGCTGACGGTGCTATCGGCTGCAGCCATATTTTGACTAAACAATTCCTATGCCCTCTCCACCAAGGTTTCTAGGCTCCTTTAGGATCTTTTTGGTGTTGGGGATATTGGGAAAGGAGCGAGAAATCTTAAATGTCTCAAAATAACTGTTGCCAGTCCTGGTGACCACAGCAGGGACTGTGGTAGTGATTTCCAGACATTTAGGAGTCCCATCTCTGTCCCATGCCCCCTCAAAAAGCCAAAAACTAAAGGGATCCTCTAAAGGAGCCTAGAAACTTTGGTGGGGAGGATAGGAGATGTTTAATTGCCAAAACATGGTTGGGGCCGATAACATTATTAGTCCTGTGTGGCATAACTTTACATTACTGGATTTCAGCTATTATTTTGTATGTGAAGCGCTCCCATGCTGGAGATATTGAAGAGAAAATTGAGACAACCATCTGTCAGAGCTTTGATCTGGATTCCTTCATTGAACACGAGGTTGGATTCGATGGACTTATAGGCCCCTTCCAACTCAATTATTCTATCACTCTATGATTCTATGTAAAATCCTGTCAGAATCCTATCTTTTTTCTATGTGATGTAATTAATAATTCTGATAGTGTACGTTCTCTGTTTGTGTCCCTTGGTTCTCTCTCCCTCTCTTTTTTTAAAGGGCAGTGTCTTATTAGATAATGGGTGGGAATTATCTAATTATACCGGAGCTTTTTGTCAGAAGGCATTAACACTAATCTCATTTACAGGCAACCTATCTGATAAGTTTGATAAGGTTAAAGATATCAGCCTGTATCACTCGAAGTTTAACCAATGCAAAACAGACATTGTGTAGATTTTCCGCTGCACACTTTTGCCTTTAGATATCAATATGAAACCTGTCACTTCTTGTTCATGCAGAAATGCCTCACAGGACTTGGTGTGGTGATATCAAGTCATTTTTTATTTGTTTAAGTCTGGTTCTTAACATAGCAGTTGGCCCAGGTTTTATACAGCACAAGAAATAAAAACAGGGACAGCCTGACTACTCTAGCTTGTATCCTTTCTCCTATCCCCTGAGGTCTGCATGATATAGTCACATCTAATTGCAACTACAGTATATTGCATGGAGCTCCCTCTCTTCCCTGAGCTATAGGAAGTTCCCTGGAGACTCTGAGGGGTCCATTTTGTGGAAGAGAATGAGCATTGGAAGCTTGTGGCGTTTTTGTAGTCTCTTTTTGTTTGTAAATATCTGCACCAAAAATGGAAAATCACAGGAAAACCTTTAGCATCTGGTCACTAGAAAGCACAGGGGCTTCACTGGGAGTCCTTCTCTTTTCCCTTCAAGGCTCCCCTGTCTTACAAAATTTAGACCAAGCGTCTTTTGTCAATGTGACTGCCTTGCAAGAACCAACTGGTTTGCCCTCCCCGCGCAACCAGGCCTGTAGGTGTGTGAGAACTCGGCAGATGGCCTCAGTGCTCCTAAATCAAAATCTTGTAAGACATCAAAAGCCATTTAGGCAAACAACCTTGGCTAGTTCTAGAAATGTCAACTGGCCCTTCTGGTGCTAGTTAACAAGCAATCAAATCAAACATACGATGGTTATGCCTTCCCTTGATACCACACAATAGCTTTCCTGCTATACTGTTTTACTGAATGTCATACTCTATTGCTTCTGACTTTATATTATATCCTCAGTCATATTTCCAGTGAGGAATGACCAATATTGTAAAAACACAGCTCCCATACACCTTCTGCGCATGTGCGCTGACGCACGCACGTATGCACACACACACACTCACACAATATTTTAAAAACACAGCTCCCATACACCTTCTGCGCATGTGCGCTGACGCACGCACGCACACACACACACACACACACACACACAAGTCACCCTTCTTTTTGCTAAATGCTTTTAGGGGAAAGGGAAGACAATTTAAAGTGAGCAATTTATTTTGTTGTTTGCAAGGAAATGTTCTGTTATGGCAGGAACTGTGTGGGAGATCATCACCATTTGACAAACACACTAGAAAAGTGCTTGTTTCAGAAGTAGGAAAAAGTGAATCTGAATCTTCCCTTACTATATCCTGACATAACTGAAGGCCAGGTATCTGAGTATTTCTGTTGACTCCGATAAGATTAAAAGTATCAATGCCTTCCAAAAGCTGAAAGATTGTTATGTATTTCTCAGAAAAATACTGTTGTCTCATGACATGTTATCTCAGAAAGGTTTTATTTCTGATTCTAGACACTGGACATTTCTGGTAGTACATAATACATTGAAGTTTTCCTACATTCAATTCTCTACTGAAGCCATAATAGCAAAAAGAAGGGACAGATGTTTGAAATTGGATGCTTGACTATTTGAACACCCTTCCTTGACTTCAGCCATATTCAGAAATTGTAAAATGGTTGAATATGCAGACATCAGAAAGTGTGTAGATTATATGAGTGTAGAAAGGCATAAGTAGACTGGAAAATTAGGGCCACAACTCATGTGTAGAGCCCCCACAGACAACAGAGATTTTCATCTTTGAACTCCGCACCTTCCACATGTAGCAAGGCAACAAGCCGGAGGTGTACCAGCCAGGGCTATCATGCTCTCCTTTATGTGTGAGTATTCTACACATTTTCTGAATAGTTTTTTTTTCTGAATAGGTATTCAGAAGAGCTATAATTTGAAGTAGACATATTTTCTCCCTTGAACAGACTGTCTCTTAAACCCTGCCCTTCCTCTTTCTAAAACCCAGGGAGACGGTAGCTATCAGAAGAGGGATTCCCTGGGAGATAGGGCTTTCTCAAGACATTTTTCCTCTTGGGGCAAAAAGCAAGATGGCACCACTCCTGTTGCACATTTGAAAGCCAACTAGATGACAGCTGACACTTATTTCAACATAGACAGTATAGGATTAGGGTTAGACCTCAGTTGAGGATACAAGTCTAGCTTTGGAAATGCAGGGCAGGCTTGATGTGTTCGCGAAGGCTTTCACGGCCGGGATCTAATGGTGGTTGTGGGTTTTTCGGGCTCTTTGGCCGTGTTCTGAAGGCTGTTCTTCCTAAAGTTTCACCAGTCTCTGTGGCTGGCATCTTCAGAGGATAGCACTCTGTGCTCTGTGCAGGGCAGGCTTCCTGATAGAGATGTGTATGATGGAAATGTCCATTTTAACCCATTTCAGGTGGTGCCTCTGTCATTTTCTTGTCTTTCATGTGCGGTCCTTTCATTTGACATAAAGCAATCAGCTCTTTCAGGCTCCTTTGTTTAATTTTCCCCCATTCATGTTTTCTGTCACTAGTCCAAAACAGCCCTAATCACAATACTATGCTGTCTTTCCTTATTCCCTCCAGTTTAGGTGGGCGCTTGAAAAAGGAACCTTAAGAAATTGCAACAAGATGTAAATAAAAGGGAGGAATGAAACAGCAGTACAACCACATGCATTACACTACACAAAATAATTGGGTCATGATAAATGAACATTTGTGTGCCCACTATAAATCTTGTAGCCTAGATGTGTTCTAAAGTCTCAAAATGTGGGTGTTCTCTGGTTGAGGTGGGAGAATCATGGCAAATGGAGCAAGTGCCTACATATAGCATATATGGCAAAACAATGATCCAGTCAAAACGAGAAGAAATAGATGAGGCAGCAAAGTGGGGAGGAAAGAATGACAAATGAAACTCACTGCACTGGCCCTGCAAAAGCACAGCACTCCACACCTTGTCTATGGTTTTGGCCTTGAAATCTCAGGGGGTGGGATGTCATGAACTGTAAACCATGTCATGCATCCTGGCATTGTGGGGGCCAGGACTGTGCACCAGTCAGCTGGGGCAAAATAAGGAATGATGTTAAGAATATGCTGAGAAAGACCTCTGGAGCCAGAATCAAAACAAACATTTCTGTGTTTACTTAAAAGTAAGTCCTGCTGTGTTCAGTGAAATTCTACTCCCTCTAAAGTACGTTATTTCTGATTCAGTATGCAAAAAGATTGTGCTGCAAGTGTTTGTTTTGAGTCACTCAGCACAGGCTTTTTCACTATATCTCTTCAAATGCCTCTTCAAATGTCAGGTCTCAATGGAAACCTTTATCAGTTTTATCTTAAACAGGTACATTTTTTTTGCTTTCCAGGCTCTGGATTTTGAAAAGAAGAGGCAGTTTACTTTGAAAGTGGAAGCTAGCAATCCTCATGTAGATCCCAGATTCCTCTATCTGGGGCCATTCAAAGATGTGACCACTGTTAGAATTCAAGTGGAAGATGTAGATGAACCTCCGGTGTTCAGCCGGCCAGCCTATGTGTTAGAAGTAAAAGAAGATGTCCAGATAAACACTGTCATAGGAACTGTGACTGCCCGGGACCCTGACAGTGCGAAGAATCCTATCAAGTAAGCATATCAGCTGTTTCAGTCTTTATTATTCTTATCTGAAGTGACCACATGTCTCAATGTCAGCATATTCATGCTATTAAGAATGCTACAGATATAGCTTGGGCTAGATGCAAACATGATGGTAACCATAAAAGGCATATTTTTAGTGTTTTTCTTCTGAAATGGAAATGTAGAAGCAGCTTATCAGAGTGCTCACCAGGAACTATCTATGAGATGTTATTGAAGAAGTGAATAACAGGCCAAAATATAAATGAGGGGAAACATCCAGAGAATGCTTTGCAGTGCTGATGTCCCACTGAAATCAGTGGGACAGAAGAAGATGGTTACTTCCCTCTGGAGGTGTAAGCAGTGCAGAAGAGAAGGAACCAACTCAGTAGACCCTTGCAAAATACAGGTTATTGTTATTGTTTTATGCCATCAAACTATGAACTATCCCCACAGTATGGATATTCAAAGATAAAATAGAGGGTTTGCCAGATGTAGAGGAAGGAAGAAGCACCTGTGCCTCATATCTTGTTTTTCCACCCCAAGAGGCCACTCGTACTGTTTAGCAGAGAGGAATATGCTGATGGGTACTAGGAAACAAAGTTGTGTGGGCTCCGCAGCCTGCCCTTAGCAAGAAACTAGCCTTCTTTACCCCGGGGTAGTGGGAGATGCTGCCCCATTGTTGCTGCTCCACAGCCACTCTGATTGGTTTCTTTACGCAAAATGGGGTGTGTGTTCTTTCTTATCCTTTACCAGAGGTGGCCTAATGCCTTGTGCTGGCTCTGTCTTTTAACAATTGGAAATCTCCCCTGCTTCCACCCCCACCACCAAGCCTCCAATAACCACTTTTCTTTGTTCCTGGTTTTCTTTGTGCTGAGCTGCAGTTTAATGGGTGGGGCAGAGGAGGCATCAGAGTCAGTGAAGGAGAATAGGTGGAGAGCCTGAGACATTCAGGAGTCTCACCATGGAGGAGCTGAAAGGATGGCTGCCACTGGCAAGAACTGTGATCAGTAAGTACTGTACACTGTAGGAGGAGTGAAGCAACAGTGAAGATTATGAGCAAAGGACAAGGACAGAAGGTGAATGTGCACCAATGGTTGTGTCAAAACTGGCCTCTCTAGACATCCACCCTAGAAGTGAAAGGACTGTGTTGCTGCTCAGGCTGAATGCTTGTGGGGAAGATATAATCTGAACGAGCCTTTCTGGTGCAACCTCTCTCCTCCTCGTGTTTTCCAGGATCTGTGAGGACAGATTAGGCTGGTTTCGTCTTGACAGTGATTCCCTCTCATATACCATCATGAGTATAAATGCTAACTCTAACTTTCCCTCTCAGCTCAGGGGGAGGATGCAATTAGACCGTTATATGTACTACTTGTCACTTGCTTGTCAGGTTCCCCTGACAGTTAGAAATAAAACCTTCAGACACTTGATGTTACATTGAAAACCCTCAATTTCATTCCACTTGACTGTAGCTTTAAAAAGCAAAAGGGGGGGGAAACAGAGCACTGTCAGTTTGAAAGCCCTTTGATCCCTCATTAAAGAATCCTTCATAATGTCATTATTGAAATGCTTAGAAGGGGAGGGGGGGAAATCACATCTACATCCCTTGTTAGCCCCCAAAAGTCTTCTGGACTTGATGGTTTGGAATAAAAAGTACAATTTAAGAAAACCAATGAGGCTATCCCCATGGAGCAGCTTTGTAAATTAAAATTAACTAAAAAAATAATAATCGTGCCTTAAGCACAAGCAGATTGAATGACACATGCACTTGTCAATAGAGTAATATTTGAGTTGCTGATTGCCCTCAGCCTATCTGAGAGCTGGAGGAATTTTCAGATGAATTAATGCATTCCATTTGTGCCTGGATGTATAAGGATCACAATATTGAAGCTGACGTTTTTCCAGTCATGACTCCAGGGAGGTGCCTGTCCTGTTAAGACCCGATGATGGAGAAGTAGCGTAGCATGTTGGGGTGGCTGCAGGCTCTCCAACGTCCATCCTCCCACATTTGCCGTATAGAAGGTCCTCACAGGAAGAGGCAGTATAAGCATTTTAAAAAGTCCAACAACCACTGCCTCATAGCGTTTCAAGGAGCCCGTACTAGTCATGATGACAGTTTGTGAACAAGCTTGGAGATAGAAGCCCTGTGTAATATGCATGGATGCTACCAGCAACTGGGGAAGGGACATGTTGTCTAAATTTTGACCCTGAAGTGAATTCCCAGTTGCCTCTAGTTATGGCCCTACTCAATATGGAGACAGGGAGATAGCTGAAGCAGATACGTCACTCTGCTTAATGGTAGAGCCAGCACTCCAACACATTTATCCTTAAGATCGAGCTAGCCTCTACACTCTTTTGATAGTTGAAAAGGTGAACAGGCAGCCTGTATTATTTTGCTAAGATCAGTGACCCTGTCTTATTTCCCTCTTATCTCAATGTAGCCAGCATCAGGCTACCTTTGTTGGACAGGGTTTGTAGTTATTTACAGCATGCTCTTAACAGTTGTTTACTTAGAAGTGAGTTCTAGGCTGTTCATAGTGTGTGCAATAGGGTGTTCATAGTAAAATTGAGCAGATTAGAGGTGCCATGTGTATGTACATTTGCCACTTGGAATGCACTGAGAAGGGTGTAGTGATGCTGCTATGGTTGAACATCAGTGTGAGCCACCAATTTTAGTCCCAACATTGCTGCTGAAATTCAGAAGCAACCATGGTGCAAGAGAGTGCCAGAATACTTTCCTGTACTGCAGAGTCCTGCCAGTGTAGAGAGCACAGCAGCAACTTCTCTTTCAGTAGCACTGCTACTACAGACGATCAGCAGTAACAGCAAGTGGAGCAGAGACAGCCTGTGGATTGCATCCTGGGTCCTGCCTATAGGATTTTAATCATAGAGAAACACAGTGGTTGGGATTATAGTGTCAGAGAGCACAGTAACTTGAAAATTATACGGGAGAATTTGGCCACCCATTCCTCTTCCTTGACTAGAGTTGCTGGAATTATGCTTGAATTCTCCTCCAGAAGGTTTAGAGATGTACCTTCAATTGTATCCTTTATTCTAAATTAAGCTGAGAAAGAACAACCAAGAGCAATCTATGAACTTCATTATCTGTCAATAGGTTTGAAGACACAACTTCATAGTTGAATTCCTAGCACTCTACCTACTGAACCACACTAGGCCTCAGGGTTACATTCTAAGAACAGCTCTAACATTCCCACCTCTTGATTTAGAAAACCATCTCCATGTGAGAATCTAGCTCTAATCTTTATAGATTTGACCAAGTAGCCCACTTTGAGTTTCTGAAGAGCAGGTAATTTATTGTATGCACTGTATCTCTTCAAATGTGTGCACACATACCAATTGACAAAGAGTCGGCAAATAAATTAATTTGAGTTCTTGGACCTTCTGGATCAAATACTAATAAAGCTTTACTCTAGCCACCTGACCACTCTCTGTATTTATGCATATCCCCCCTTTTTGGCCTCACCATGTATTTCTTAATCTTAGAGCTTCTCAATTTCCTAGGATTTTAAGTGAGTAAAGTCCCAAAATCTGCCATCCATGCACCAGTAAGTTCATTAAAGAAATGTGAAAATGAATTTGATGTTGTCGACTTAATTCCTAATAGACTATGATCCGTAAGTCAGAGTCACCACCAACTCAACATAATTAGCAGCCCTTGATCATAAGAGACCTGGGATTATTTAAACAGAATGAAAGCAATGACAGGGTAACCTATTAAAAGCACTCTTCTAGGTCAGGGTTAACAATGTAATTAGAATATATGCTCAGTTATTGTAACCTTGTATTTCTTTCTTTTTTTTCTTCCTATAGAAGAGAAGACTAATGCGAAAGTCTCATTTTGCCAAGCCCTTGTTTTTCCTTTTAGTGCTGTGTTTCTATTTTGCAAATCATCCTATGTGCCTATTTGAAGTTATGTTTCCCTATAATAGTGATAGTCAGGTGGAGATTTATGGTGGGAGGATAGCACGGGAAACAGGAATGGGAGTTTAATTATCATTCTGATAGTTATCAAGCAAGATGGGAGAGAAACTACTTTATTTTCATGCAATGAACTTGGCTATCCTACCACAGAATCCTCCAGAGCTTCACAGGGAAAAGCCCAAATACACAGTGTTAATGATCTGATCAGGAATTATATTGTGGTGTTTCTTTTCCTTTTTCTTTTTTAATTAATACAATACAAATGAGGGGGGGTATGACTGCCACTAAAAAGTATGATGCAGCCATATTCTAGGTAAAAATCCTTCACCATCACATGTGACAATTAACACTTGTGGGGAAAATAGCTCATTCTCATCAATTGGCAATAGCCACATGAGAGGCATGTACTGACTGCTACACAGGAGGGAGAAGCAGCTTTTTATTGGAATCACAGCCTGGGGAGAAGAGGCTGAAGTTTCTGCTTACTGTGTAGAGTAGTGCTGTTCATGCTCCTCCCAGATGCATGCACAAAAACATGTGGCATTTACTTTTGTAAAATCTACAACATGATTGATAGTCAGGTTAATGTAATCTGTACTTAGATCTTTCTTATAAAGCAATGCTAGTGAAGCTATGACTCTCTCACACACACATTCATATATTACCATCAGCCCTAGCCAGCCCGACCAGTTGTAGATAAAAGAGAAGTGATAGTTCATCATTACCAGGAGGACTGATGCTAACCTGTTCTAGAGTTTATTGGCAGAAGAGGAAAGAACTGGACACTATGGGACTCTCATCCTTTTAAAAAAGGAATGGGTATTTGACAGGCCACTCTTCTTGCTGTTATGTACCACCATATCACTTCAATTTAAGGTAACCCTTGTAGGGTTTTTGACCTACGTTAGACGTTCAAAGAGTGCTTTAACATTGCCACCCCCATAAATTTCCATCACCAAGCAAGGACTTGAGCCCAGGACTCCCAGATCCTACTCTATCCACTATACCACACTGGCTTTTAGACTGCCCTTACACTCTAGTGTATTATTAGCTGTATGATAGAGACTGCCTCAAAACCATGAATTTAGATGTTAAAGTGCATGAGAGTTTGGTTTAAATCACAATTCTGTCATTGTCTCCCTTTTCCAGAATAGAGAAAATTAAAATGAGATTTTAACCCCCATAGATCTTTCTCAATAATGCTTTTATATATTAGTGAGGTTAGTCCTCTTTTTTATTTTTATCTTTTTGAATACAATCTTGTTCAAATTCAGTTAATGTTCTTAGAAAGCCAGTTTTTTGTTGTAAGTGAGTAGCGAAACTTCTTATTTGTTTTATTTGTAGCCAATTGCTTTTTATTTGCTTTGTTTTCTCTTCTATTTGCCTAATAGTAATTGGTTCCCCTGAATCGAATAAGTCATTAATCCTATATATTCCAATTTGCTTCCACTCCTTAAATTGTGCATATTTCTCTTTAGACTTAAAATATGGGTGATCCATGAGGGGACATAAAGGGGATACTGGGGGGGGGCAATGTTTTACTATGTTTTCTCCATATCCTTAATGTTTCAGAAATGAATGGGTTCTGTATTTGTTCTCCTTTTCCAATTTTTTTGTAGTGTAAATATACTTATTTACTATGTCTGTTTTCATTTCACTTTCCATTTTGACCCAATCAGAATTTTTACAAGTCAACCCCCATAGATCTTGAGAAGAGAAACTGGGTTCTGTCATTTACCACTAGTCACTGGCTTTATACTCCCAGTTTAGCCTCCTTCATCTTGGGCATTGTTTTTTCCCCCAGGGGACACGGTGATCTTGCTATACCACTCCCTTTTCTGCACTCTTAGCCTCAAATATTCATGTGCTTTCTGAAAGCCACTGTAGCCCAAAGAAACGGTGAACATTAGGATGCAAATACAGAATCAAACTTAAAACTGTTTTCTCTGTTGCTTTTAAGAGCTGTGTCATATACACTGCATTAACCCATGATACTCGGATTTCTAGATATTAGGCTTCGTATTTCAAAACCTTACACTGCTAATCCTCCATACAGTGCGCAAGTGAAAGATGGTTGCTTAAATCTTGTTAAATAACTTGCCAAATCCTGACTAAGGCATTACTGCCAACATTCAGTATGTCTCTGAGATATTAATTGTTGGCCCAGCTTGGGGTCCTACTTTTTGCAACTCATATCATTCTGTGAGAATTTCTGCTAGCACACAGCCTTTGAAGTAGACAGATTCTAAGAACCCTAGGATTTTAAAAGATAATGAGGGATACATTCTTTCCTTCCATTAAAAATAAACTAATTAATTTTAAAAGCAGCAGAACTCATGATTTTTAATTCACCTTTGCCCATTTGTTGGGAATGCTTGCCTGCTGACCTTTCATTGGAGGGAACTGGAAATGGCCTCTAATGATTTTGTTACACTGAGATCAGATCCTGATGAAACTGATGCTGGCTATGTGCAACACTGCTTAAAAAACATAAAAGGGGAACATAACATGGAGACTATTTTGGTGCAATGGATCGTCTCCACCATAACTTTATGGGTTAGATGTGCCTTCCCAACCCATGGCAGGGGAGCCAGTGTGATATGGTCAGTATGCTGACCCCATGTCCAGATGCCCTGTGAGTCATGAATTTTGCTTGGTGAACCTGGGTCACAGGTGGCTCATGAGCTGAGTCTCCACAGTGCAAAGGTGAGGTTTCCCCATTTAGGTTACTAGTTACCGCTGCATTATGCTAGCCACTATCTCTCAGCTCAGAGCTCAGAAGTAACCAGTTACAAATAGTGAGATGACGATGGTGAAAAAAATACCAGGCACCGTCAATCAGAATTATAAAAACATTGACTGGCATTATAGAATAGATACCAGTTGTAACCCCAAACCTAAGTATCTGTTAAATATTGGCCAGGGGAGCCAGTGTGATATGGTCAGTATGCTGACCCCATGTCCAGATGCCCTGTGAGTCATGAATTTTGCTTGGTGAACCTGGGTCACAGGTGGCTCATGAGTCTCCACAGTGCAAAGGTGAGGTTTCCCCATTTAGGTTGCTAGTTACCGCTGCGTTATGCTAGCCACTATCTCTCAGCTCAGAGCTCAGAAGTAACCAGTTACAAATAGTGAGATGACGATGGTGAAAAAAATACCAGGCACCGTCAATCAGAATTATAAAAACATTGACTGGCATTATAGAATAGATACCAGTTGTAACCCCAAACCTAAGTATCTGTTAAATATTGGCGCACGATGTATGCTGTTCCTAATATTGCTGCTTTTTGTAACTCTGTTGTTGTTGTTGGCTAAACTTGTATTTGTTATATAATATCAGTCAAAGAGACAATGGGGAATTGGGCACGATACCTGACTCACAGAGCCTAAAATAGTGAGCGACTAGTAATTAATTTATTTCCCTCAAAAGTGAGCATATAACTTCATTACATTACAATTGTAACTTAGTGAGGATACTTTTGCTCCTTTTGAAATGTAACAAAAAGGAACAAAACACAAGGTACAGTGGATCAAAATTATAAAAATATTGACTGGTATTATGTAAAAGATACAAGTTTTAACTCAAACCCTGTCTGTTAACTATTGTCATAGGATGTATGCTGTTCCTAATATTGCTGCTTTTTGTAACTCTGTTGTTGTTGGCTAAACTTGTATTTGTTATATAATATCAGTCAAAGAGACAATGGGGAATTGGGCACGATACCTGACTCACAGAGCCTAAAATAGTGAGCTACTGGTAATTTATTTCCCTCAAAAGTGAGCATATAACTTTATTACATTACAATTGTAACTTAGTAAGGATACTTTTGCTCCTTTTGAAATGTAACAAAAAGGAACAATCTATGGCTTTTTGTTGTGCTATAAGATGTTCCTTTATTATAAAGGTTGAGGAAACAGAAAGGTAGTTGGGGAAAGTGTTTTTCATATCACAGGCCAGCAGCTTGTAGCATCCAATGTTTTTGCACTTGGGGGTCACAATCCCAGGATGCCATTCTAAACCACTACCTAGCGGCACATCATTCCATGATATCATCTGCCCCCTAGATTGGTTTTAGGCAGCATTCTGTCCTCTCAGGACCAAAACAAGTCCCCATCTCTAGAGAATTGCTTTCCCTGTCAAACTGCTCTGTAAAACCTTTTTCTGCTGTTCAACTAAAATCTGCCTCTTCTTAATTTAGGCTTATTATAGCTAACAGAATTGTGAATTCTTCCACTTTAGTGGAAGCACAAGAGAGAGAGAGAGAGAGAGAGAGAGAGAGTCCATGTATTATTTCAAATCTAGTTTGAGTTTAAAAATAACCTCCAGATCACCAGTAAAATGAACATGTTTACCCAGTAAAATGTCAATACTTCTGTTCCTGCAGTTACTTAACACAGAAATAGTGAATTGTGTTTCTTGCTTTTTCTCTTCTTTGATCTAGTAGTGTACTTCTGATAATAGTGGTGTACATCTGATATTAAGGGTGAAATTCTGACATTGTGAACAAATTAATTCCAAGTAAAAGCATAACAATTCATTAATTGCAACCAAAAAAAAACATTATTTAGGCATGCCAATTTTAAAAAAATCATCACAAACCTACATTATTGTGAGTTATGTCTAAGTATGAGAACAGCAAAGCTGTAATACTGGGAGATACAGCTTAACAATATTCAGAGAACCCTTCTCTGTCTCTCTTCTGTCTCTCTGTCTCTGTCTCTGTCTCTGTTAACAATATTCAGAGAACCTTTCTCTGTCTCTCTTCTGTCTCTCTCTCTCTCTCTCTCTCTCTCTCTCACACACACACACACACACACACATACACACACACACAGTCTGATGCAAAATGCAGTGTTTATTACAGTCCTTGTAAAAATAGACAAGATATAAGTAGGTCTCAGGTGGTTTCCATAAGGCAACAGATTTAGCAGTGTTAAAGCCAAGATGAAGAGATGACAGAAAATCCCCTGAGAAATGATGCTTGAAACGAGAGGCTCTTGATTGTGCTCTCCCCAACAGGAAGCAAAGAACATTGAGATTTAAAACAAATCCTTCATGAAAAAGCCTGAAATGGACAGATTTGTCCATCCAGGTCCAGGGTTTTGAGGGTTTAACTCCAGTCTGGGTTTGAACACAGGTGGATTCAGCCATGTGAGAACTAGAAAAAGGGTTGCTACCTCTCTCTTTTTTTTATGGTTCCTCTTCTTTAATATTGATTTCATACAGGTGCAATAATATTGTTATCTCATATGTGTCTATTAAGTTTTGACAGGGCAGAAGTAAGTAAGAGAATTACATTGTATCAGTTCATTATATCTTAGTTTTGATATCCAGTGTAACATAGTACATGGAGTAGGACTCAGGAGTCCTGGGTTCAAATTCCTGCCTAGCCATGGAATTTCACTGGAGTTACAGAGCACTACTTCTAAATGTTTGCTAATCATAGTTTCTAGTTTTTCTCTGAGAATGCATCATGAAGCTGCAGTTCGCATATCAGTACTGCAAATTCAGTTTGTTTTCTTACCTAATCTTAGAAAACCTTTACATTTTAAAACAGTCATGAAATGAAAATGAATCTCAAGTCTAATCTATTATCTTTGTATTTGTAGGTATTCTGTAGATCGTCATACAGATATGGACAGAATATTCAACATTGATTCTGGAAATGGTTCAGTATTCACTTCTAAACTTCTAGATCGGGAAACATTGTTGTGGCACAACATTACAGTCATAGCTGCTGAGATCAGTAAGTTGTGCATAACTTCCAGTGTTATAGTGAATACTGTCTTCCAGCTATGAGCCACAGAGAGGAAGTCAATCTCATTTCTTTTAGTTGCTTGCTGTTGATTCAAGGACGTAAACCAGAAAAAGTTTCTATATTTCCTACCCTCTTTTCTTCCCCAAGGTCACAGCTTATGAAAAGCTAACATTTAGTAGAAAGATCAGTATCTAAATTCAGCTCCATCTGTGATCCAGTCAAGGTGTTGCCTAACTCAGAGCTGAATGGATCACAGAAAATGGCTATATTTTTTTGTATCTGTAGTTCAAAAAGGAACTTTTCCTAAGCTTTGAGATGTTCTGACAAATACATACCTGTTTAAATATGTTGACAGTTCCTATTTCTGCCTCTCTGACCTTCCTAAGGTCTCAGTGAAGTTAGCAACAAAGGCAGAAAGGAAATTCAAGTCTTACCAAGCAGTTGCTTTCCTTGCTGAAGTTGTTTTGAATGATGAATTTTCTATGCCTGAAAGCTATGAAAGGTGAAACAGCAACTGCACGGCAGAAAGCACTTCAAAGCCAAGATCAAGAGAAACTTAGGATTTCAGTCCCTGGTTTGATAGATACTACATGAATAACTAAGAAAGATGTATTTACATTATGCATTAAGAAGAACGAAATGTCTGTTCCATATAGTGAAGCTGTCTTGAAATTTTGTGGGTTTTTTTCGGGTGTTTTTTTTTTAATTTTACTTGATTTTATTTCATTTTTTCAGAAGAACTAGGTGACAGGTTATACCAAATAGGCCAAAGTCTAACAATTTATCCAATGAGGTAAAAGCCACTTGGGCATGAAGGAGAAGGGCAGGATAAGGGCCAGTGGAGCTTAAAATTTGAATAAGCATATGGAAGAGTGGTGTTCCTGTTGACTGCCCCCAGGACAGATTTATTTATTTATTTTATTAAAAACATTTATAGTCCATCTTTTATCACAGGATCTCAAAGTGTGTTACAGAGCAGTATAAAATGATTTAAAAGTAAAAGATGTTTAAAGCAATTTAAAATTCATTGGCTTAAAACACAACATTAAAATATTAAAATATTGAAGCATAAAAATCATTGTGTTAAAACCCGCACAGGCCATGATTCTCAACCCCCAAAGGCTCTAATAAATAAATATATGTTGACCTGGTGCTCAAATTACACCAATTGAGTCTCAAAGAGAATGGCATTCCAGAGTTGTCCCGCAACCAAGAAGGTCCTCCCCCATGTCTCCACCTAATGAATTCTGTTCTTAGTGGTGGGACACGGAGGAGGAGAGTGTGTGAGAAGAAAGAGTTGATTGTGCATTTTTAAAGAAATGCCATCTTTTAACCGTGTCGCAAAGCTTAAACATATCTCAACTTTCAGAAAATTTGGAATACACACATTTAGGATGAACTCTCAAAGCAAACTTTCTAGAGAGAAAATATCACTGAATTGTCTCAAATAACACAGGATTGCATGGTTGAAAAGCAACAAGCAGGTGCTCATATAACAAGGCTCATATAAACCAATTCTGTTTGCCTTTCAGCCTTGCCCACATGGAAGACAAATGAACTGGTGATGCAGGTTCTAAGAGTAACTCTGCTGCTACTGCTGTTTGTCCTCCTCTTTCCTACAGCTTACCCTTGTGGCCTATCGTAGCTCCACAAATGAAACCAGAACAGTTACCATCGTACACATTTTGTTTGTTAGTTCATTTGTCAATATCAGTGATTCCCCACCTTGGGTAAGCCGGGTGTCTTTGGACTGCAACTCCCAGAAGTCTTTACCACTAGCTGTGCTGGCCAGGGTTTCTGGGAGTTGCAATTCAAGAATACTGTGGCTGGCTTACCCAAGGTTGATAACCACTGGTCTATCTGTGTTTGCCACACCCAATAGTAGAATCATAAGATCTGCAAGTGAGACTTTTTTCATTTGGTTATTTGAGAGGATAGTAGGAGACTATGCAAGAATGACAGATCAAAATGTCAAATGTAAGGAATTCTAAGGACTTGTGCTGGTCTGGGTGGTGGAACAGGACAAAAGTGAGTTAGGGAAAAGTATCACAGGAGAACATTCAGAGTTGTGTGAAATTGCAGCTATTCCTTTAGAGAGTGTTGCAATTCCATTCTTCTAGTTTTTGGCTACAGTTACTTGTATTTTATGTATTTTTTTGTATTTTTTTAATTTATTTTTTATAAATCCATTCAAAATAGCACAACAGAACAAAATAGCTACAGCTGTTTGAATTGACACAGATGTCTGAGCACACGGGTGATGTCATTCTGTGCCTGTGTTACCCCATGAGTGTTTTACAAGAAGGATGTTCCCATGCAAAGTAATGCACTGTATTAAAAGTACTTCTTCAACTTTATCCTTGTATTCTTGCAGACAACCCAAAGGAAAGCAGCCGAGTCCCAGTGTTCATTAAAGTCCTGGATGTGAATGACAATGCACCTGAATTTGCGATGTTTTATGAGACCTTCGTCTGTGAAAATGCAAAAGCTGAGCAGGTGTGCAGTTTCTGCTTCCTAAGGGGGAAAATATATGATTTATAAATAAGAGGTGCATTAAGCCTCATAGTAGTTCTCTTCAGCTGGTTACTAGTAATGCTAAGTGAAATCAAACAATGCTTTTTTGTCCCCAACTATAGTTGGCACTCTGTAGCTAATGTAACAGCCGCATTTCACATCATTGTGTACTGTACAAATACTTTGGCATTGTGTTGTACTCTCGTTTTCTACCTCCATTTCTATTGGATAGAGTCATGAATCTGCTCTGCTTCTTCTAATGAGTTAGTAACAGTTTTGGGCACACAGCTGGATCCTATATTCAAGTGGCTCCCAACATATTGGGAAGTGTAGTTTTGGCAGATAGTCTAACATGTACCACTGATTCCAATTTCTAATGAGTGTTTCTCTCCCCTATTCTAGTTCTCTATATCAGGCTGTCCAAGGAATATAGTTCATGCATTATTTATTTATTTATTTATTTATTTATTTATTTATTTATTTATTTATTTATTTAACACCTCTGGCTGCCAAGACCACTCTGGGCAGTTTACACAATTGAACCACAAATCATTAAACAACACTTAAAACAAAAACAAATAGAATAAATTAGAATTAAATTCAACCGCAGAACAGAATTTAACTAATAATAACTAAATAATAAATTACATATACCAGTCTCAAACATAGTTCAAGTTATGGAAGGGGACGTGTTTGGCTACAACCCCCATCAGCTTCAGCCTCCATGGTAAAGGGTCACAGGTGAAAGGAGATGTACATTGGGGTCTTGACTTGAGAACTTAATCCGTATTGGAAGGCGGTTCTCAAGTCAAAAAGCTCGTAGGTCAAATCTGCATTTCCCATAGGAATGCATTGAAAACCATTTGATCCGTATCTGCTCTTTTCCGTCCATAGAAACTAATGGGAAGCTGCTATTCTGCCTTCAACCACTAGAGGGGGATATTTTGTTTCTTTTTTTTCTTAGGTCAAGAAAGGTTCAGGAAAGGCAGGGAAAATGCAGTCCAGGCAGTACAGTACCAGGCAGTCCGAAGACTGGCTCCCAATCCACTCTCTAAAGGCTGGGAGGAGTGAGGAAGCAGACAGGCACCGTTTTCACTGGCCAACAGTTAACTGAAAGTTCACATTTTGCACTTTCCCTGCCTCCCACGTGGGTTTTTTTCAGTTCGTAACTCAAATCTAAGTACTTAAGTGAAGTCAATATTTTCCTATGAGAGCGGTTCTTAAGTCAAAATGTTCTTAACTCGGGCCGTTCTTAAGTCAAGACCCTTTTGCAGGTTCTCAACATCTGGAAGGGTCACTTGTTACCTACCTCTTCTTTCAGTGCTACAGACTGCTTACCTCCTCTGATACCGGTGTTGATTGTAGCATGGAGTACTCTGGCTTCCTGTCCAGATACAAGCAAAAAGGGACTTTTTTATTTGGTATTATAGCACTCAAGCATAACCAATGTAAATAAATTGACATGTAAGAATAAATATATATTGTTACTGGACACAGTCCATACAAAGGTCAATTTTGTGATGCAGATGTCCTTCAAAATGGTAGTTTTCAAGCTGTGCTCCTCCAGATGTTTTGGACTTAAACTCTGAGAATCCTTGACCACTGAGCACCTTGGCTGGGGTTTCAAGGAGTTGAAATCCGAAACATATTTGGGAAGACCAAACTTGAGAACCACTGCTTTAAAACAATGGCTCCCAGCCTTGCAGTCAGTTCTATGGCTCTCATCATTCTAATCAGCATGACCAATAGCCAAGGATTTGGGAAGGCATGGTCCCATAATATCTGGAGATCACAAAGGTGGGAACCATCTTTTTAGGAATTAATGGCCTGGTGCACAAAATCTGATTTCCTTATGCCCTAGTATTGTTTCTTTACTAAAAACCAACCAGAATCCCTTGAGGGACATTAAAGGAAAAGCTGGGGGGGTGGAATCTTTACATAAGTTTCTGGAACACAGAAATAAAGATATTACCATAGGAATATGTAGTGTCCAATCATGGAACAAGAAAATGGATATCTTTCTGTGGCATACATATTCATTTCAGTGAGTTGCATACCTGGCTAAAGGTTAGGGGTTTGATTTCCCACTGTGTTTCCTTAGAGAAGAGCCAGCCTGTGCAGCCTTCGGCAAAATGTTCTCAGATGCCCCTAGAATAAGAAAATGGAAGCCCCCTTCTGTCCTCCATACCTAGGAAATCCTGGAAGGGGTCACCATAATTTGGAATTGACTTGATGACGTGTTGTTATTATTAAATTAGCCCAGAAACAAGGGGATAGGTAGAATAAAATGAGTTAGTCTTCCTCTTTTGCCAGTTTTCAAGAACTGAAACTATCACAGAACCCACATCTTCCAAAACAGTTCTCAAAGAATTTGTATTTGAAAATCTTGTTACAAGTTACTGCCCATCATTTGCGACACTCTTGCTGTCTTGATTGCACCACTGTGTTGTGTATTCTGCACGACAAGGCATGATCTTTGGTGTTAAAGACTCTCTGCACAACTGTATTGATGCAGCAACCATCTTGTTAATGTTTAGCTCATACAGACCCTAAGTGCAGTTGATAAAGACGACGCTTTTGGTGGACACAAATTTTCTTTCACATTGGCTCCTGAGGTAGCCAGCAGCTCCAATTTCACCCTTCAGGATAACAGAGGTATGCTACTTTTTCCCATTTCATTTTCCTTTAGCCTTCAATTCAGGGGGGACATACTCCTTATATAGATTGTTCCATCTCTGCAGATAACACAGCCGGCATCTACACCAGGAAAACAAGATACAACAGACATGAAATGAATATGTACCTCCTGCCTGTGGTAATTTCGGACAACGAATATCCCATTCAGAGCAGCACCGAGACTGTGACAATTCGAGTATGTGCCTGTGACCAGAGAGGCAAGATGCTCTCTTGCAATGCTGAAGCGCTGATCCACCCTACTGGCCTTAGCACTGGGGCACTGATCGCAATCCTTCTTTGCATCATTATATTGCTAGGTAAAGGATTTGCATGAAATAGTGGTAGGGAGTCTATGTTGTGAGCTATCCCTCTTGCAATGCGAGGGTGTGGCCGAGTCTTCAGTGTGCTGTTAGTACTCATTTACTTTACAGAAGAGCAGCTCCTGATGGAGATGGTAACTTCTAGACTTCTTGGAAAAGCGGGGAAGGAATCCTGACAGCCTGAAGAAAAGGGGGTGAGACAATCTAGGGATTCTGGAGACCTAGATTGGAATCCCAGGAGGGCCTGTTTTCACTCCATCATCAGAGTTTCTCCATCCACTCTTAAGGTCATTGTACCAGCCAGCAGGCTTAGCAGCATCCAAAGGTATCAGGTGGGATCCAAAAGTGCTTGCAAAATATTGATTGTTTCTAGTAGAGGCATTTCACTCCTCAGCCATTCAGCATAGTATATTACTAAGGATAAACCAGTCTGGGACTCAGCTTCTTTGGTTATACAGTATAGGAAGCTGCTGTCAGGAGTATTGGATCCAAAAGAACAGCTGTTTGATCCTAGATCTAGAACTGAGTTGAAAGGAAAGTGCAGAATACAATGGTTTTCAATTAATGGCTGCTAGCTACATCATTGTCTTTTCCCCAATCTTCTTTTAAGCTTTCTGTGTGCAATCTCCATGCTTCCTGAAACAAAGGCATTGAAAGAACTGAACAACCATTTCCATTTTTAACAGTAACAAAGGCAGATAATTTTTTGCAGGTTCTTTTGTCTGATTGTGTGTTTCAGGTCATATGGTAGATTTCACTTGCAGCCTGAGAAAGCCTAGCCTGCCTACCCTCTCAACACACACATACACACTTTTTGGTGGCAAAATTCCAGATAATGTTAAGAGTTAACGAGGATAAAGATGGAGAAACAAAAACAGCTTTACATTTGTTTTAACATTTCATCAAGCCTTCAGATGGCTTATTTTACAAGCTCTCTTTAAAAGAAAAAACTGAGTATCAAGAACACAAGTTATATTTAGAGTTTGAGTTACTTGGTGAGTTGCACAAATCCAGTTTGAATATTCATTTCTGTCAGTGAAATCTCATTCATAATAACATGAAGTGGGTGAGGAGCAAATGAGTGCTAGGTTTTAGAGCCGGTGTACAGTGATGACACAGGACACAAACAGCGAATGACAATTTGAGGTTGAAGACAGGGAAGGTTTCCAATGAAAGCATTACAGAAAGAAAGAAGGGGGAAAACATATTGATATTTAATTTAAAGAAGAGATTGCATCCAGGGCAAGTGTTCATTTCCTTTGGCACAAAGGCTTCTCATGGATCTGTTCCCTAAACATTGCACACCTCCTTTTTCTTTGGTATCAAACTTTCAGGAGGCAATGGAGGGAAGGGGCATTGTTGACTGGTAGGCATTGTTGACTGGTAGAGAACATGCCCCACATCTTAGACAGTCCCAGATGTAATCGCAAAGACCTCAAGTTCAAAGACGGGTAGGAAACCTTCAGCCTGGAACTGAATCCAACCCTCCTGTGGTCCCAGTTCCATCCTCTGGAATTCCTGAGAGATGCCCCCTTACTTATGACACGGTCATTTGATGGTAGTGTCCCAGTTTTGTGTGTGTGTGTGTGTGTGTGCTATGACACGATCATTTGATGGTAGTGTCCCAGTTTGTGTGCGTGTGTGTGTGTGTTTGATACCTGTTCTAAACAACTGAAATGCTTCTCCTCTAGGACTGAGTTCCTCCTGGCAGTGCTTTGTGCTGAAATATGCAGGGTCTTTGGCCCTATTCTTTTGCTTTGGGCCCTGCCTGCCACATGATTTTTCTGAGTTTAGGGGACTCAGTGGAAGGCCTCTAAGCTCTTGGAATGAGGACTAGTGGAATGCTGGTAATTTCTTGTTGGAAGACACTAAGAAGGATAGTTAGTTCATGTACAAGTAAAGCAAAATCCTCCTTTTTTTTTCTTTTTCTTTTTTTTTCGTATCGTAAAGCAAAATCCTCCTTTTTTTTCTTTTTCTTTTTTTTTCGTATCCATGTCCAAGGCTAGGAAGAACAAGCAACATGCCTTGAGCTCCTTGGAAAATGAATTGATTGTAGTATAGACCAGGCCAGCCCTACCATTCGGAAGAGTGAGGCAGCCACCTCAGGCAACAGATGCAGGCTCATAAGAAAGAGCAAGCAGATAGCTAGTTAAGTTGTCCTTTTTTACGTTTTCACTGAAAAGAAATATTTTTGGAGTTTCCTGGCTCATGCACCAAAACAACTTGGCTAGTTTTAAAATGCTGTGGGTGCTATTTACCTTGCCTTCAGAGCCAACAGAGCACCTTTTGCTGCTTTGCCTCAGGCAGCAAAATGTTTCAGGACAGCCCTGAGCGTCTGTATGCCTGAAGTCACAAAGGCTACAGAACAGCTTTAAGGAATTTAGCCACTTGTATGCACTGCAGCCTTTTCTTTGTCAATATTTACTGCCAAACAATTTCCTGAGCCCCCATGAAATAGTGGGTGCTTCTTTTAAGGCAAATTATCACTTGAGAATTCTAAAGACATAACTATATTCCATTGCCACTCCTCGGTAAGTTTCCATGGCTAAGCCAGGATTTGAACCCAGTTCTCTTGAGTACTAGTCTATCATTCTATCCACACCACTACACCAGCTATCTCAAATTTAAGGGGTATGAATTAAATTAAGAATTACAGCATATGTTCCTCATTAATTTTTCCCTCATGGAAAGGAAAGAATCCAATTATTATCCCACACACACCTCATATGTTACTGCTAACATGACATGTCACCTTGAAAAGTGCTGTACATTCTCCTCAGAGAGCCAACTCCAAAGCATTTCAGGAGTTTGTGAGGCTCACTTCCTTTCTTTATTTCTTTTTCTTTGCCTTGAAACAACCACATTTGTGATTTCAAAAGGATGGTTTCCTTACCACACAGAGTCTTCTTTTTAAAAAAAAGCATTTACTGATTAAAAACAACAACTGAGTTTCATCTTCCTTTTAGCTTGAAATTCTTTCTCCCCTCTTAATATTTATCCTATTTTCAACACCCACACTATCACAGTAAGATTGTCCCCGGTGTAAACATGTGAGCTTGGAGTGTGCAATTTTGCAGGGCTTTTTGAAAAGTGGACAGGGGAGATAAGGTTCATGTGACACAGACTTCATTTTTGTTTTCTTTTGTGCTAATTGGGTGGAAAATTAACTTTCCTTTCCATCCCCCTATTTTGCTCTATTTATTTCTCTGTTTTTCTTTCCAGTTACAGTGGTGCTATTTGCAGCCTTGAGACGGCAGAGGAAGAAAGAGCCCTTGATCATTTCCAAAGAGGACATCCGGGACAACATTGTCAGTTACAACGATGAAGGTGGTGGAGAGGAAGATACCCAAGCATTTGATATTGGCACCCTACGGAACCCTGAAGCCATAGAAGACAATAAATTGCGCCGTGACATTGTGCCGGAAACACTTTTTATGCCACGCCGGACTCCGGTAGTACGAGATAATACAGATGTTAGAGATTTCATTAGCCAAAGGTTGAAGGAGAACGATATGGATCCAACAGCACCCCCGTATGACTCATTAGCAACCTACGCATATGAAGGCAATGGGTCTGTGGCAGAGTCACTCAGCTCCTTGGAGTCGGTGACTACAGATGGAGACCAGGACTACGATTACCTCAGTGACTGGGGCCCTCGTTTTAAAAAGTTGGCCGATATGTATGGTGGAGCAGACAGTGATAAAGACTCCTAATATGTTGCCGTTTTCATTTCTAAGAAACAGCATTGAAATGTGTGGCATTGCTCCTTCTTTCTATTTATCCACAGTCTGTTGAAAGGGTTCACTTCTACCAGTTCAAATTGTTTCCGTGACTGCAGTCTTCGTGGATCTAATGTCATTTCCCCCCTCAAATATAATTTGAGCTTCCAAGAGGCAAATGATGAGGGAAAACAAGCTTCAATTTTTTAAAAAAAAATCTGTTTTATATAGATATATATATGTGTGTACTGCATCCTGTTAACTTAGGCAGCCGAACAGGCACAATAGCAAGGAAATTGAGGGACAACAGAAACGGAATAATAGTTTTAACTTGTTCCGCTTATTGTGTAAATTGGATTATCTTACTGTTATCACTCACCAAATAATCTGACTGTATTTTAAATATTCAGCTCAGACATGTCCTCTGTAGATTATATATAAAACACCCCTTTGTAAGGATCTATTGTGGCTTAGCTTAAACATTGCAGTAAAGGGAGTGAGGTTATAACTCCTTTTAAAGCCACAAAATGCAATATGGAATTAAGATACATAAAAGATCTATAGGCCATTCAAATACTAATATTAATCTTGAATTGGTTGTTTTGCTAAAAGCGTTCATCCATACTAGTGGTGGACAATCGAAAGTAAAAGGGAGGGAGATGTGTGTGTGTGTATGCATGCACCTAAGTGGATTCACTATTTGTGCCATAGCAATGCACTACAAACAGTACATTTAAGAGAATTCTGTTCCCAGAAAACATTACACCACCCTTCCCTAACCCTAAATTACTTAGAAATGTTAGACTACGACTCCTGTAATCCCCAGGTAACAGTTCATTGGCTGTGGAATCATAGGAGTCAAAGTTGGACACATCTGGAGGACTCCAGAATGGAGGGAGAGGGATATAGAGATGTGTTTCTCAACCTTGGGGAATGCAGCTGTTTTGAACCTCAGATCCCAAGACTGACTGCCTCTCAGCCGCAGTACCAGGGGCTTCTAGGAGCTGAAGTTGAAAACCTCCAGCAGTCGAAAAATGGGTTCTACAACACTAACCATAGAAAGGACGTAAGATTGAAAATACACTGACTAACTTAAGTCCTACCTAAGTCGACTTCATGAATAAGACTGAGTCAAATCCTTAATGCTAAACTCTCTCTGCTCCACTTAATCTTAATGTCTAGTGTGCCGGGCAATCAAAAGCTCTTCTGTAAGTTGTATCCATCCCAGCTTGCTCACTTCCCTTCAAGGGAAGAGGTATCTGGCAGGCAGGAGGGCACTTTGTTTCCCCACAAGGGATTCCGCTGGGGGTTGGGAGGAGGAGGCAACAATAGCAGGCAGGTAAAGCAACCAGGCTTTCTTCCTGCCATACCTTCCTTAAATCAATGAGAGTGGAGTGGTTTACTGCAGCATAGAGCAGCCCTGGATGAAGAGCCAATGGTGTACCTCTGCTGGATCCTGCTGCATACTCTAGAACAGGGGTCTCAAACATGCGGTCCGGGGGCCATTTGCGGCCCACCAGATGATAGTTTGTGGCCCCCGCCTTGCCTGCCCCACGCGTCCTCTGCTGTCAAGAGTTAAAAAAAAAAAAGCCTCATCTTGCTCGCTGGCTGTCTCCCAAGACAGCGCCTCTTGCACCCTCTATCTGGAACTGCAGCCTGCCAGCCAGCCCGCCTGAGTGTGCCTTTTTTTGAGGAGGGGCCCTCAGAGGAAGGTTGCTGGACCTCCGTGCGCGTGTGTGCATGTGCGTGCGTGCGTGCATGCGCGCACCTGTGGGGGACCCACCCCGTTCTGCTTGCCAGAAAATCTGATGCGGCCCAGCCTCACCCAGACTCTGCCTCCAGCGGCCCCCAGATAAATTGTGTTTGAGACCCCTGCTCTAGAACCAGTGACAGCCCTCCCATGGAGCATGCTGTGCAGCCTAAAAACTTGTTCCAGAAGGCTGAGAAACTTTCTAGAAGAGGTTTTGGGCACCAAGGAGAGGGGAAGAATGTCCAGAATAAGATTGAGTTTGATATAGACAAGCGTCGTTAGATGTGGAAGCACACCACTGGATCTTGATCTATTAAGACAGCACAGAACGTCAGCCCACCAGCCTCACATCAGCTGTGAGGTGAATCAAGGATTATATCAAAAAGGCAATCTGAAAAGAAACCAAATTATGCCAATTGACAGAGTCAAGAAAATGTCTGAGGTGAAAGGCAATGCCAGAAAGGAAAAGAAAGTACAGTCGTGCTCTGCTTAACGATTACCCCGTATAACGATGAATCCGCTTCATGACGATGTTTTTGCGATCGCAATTGCGATCGCAAAACAATATTTTAAATGGGGTTTTTTTGCTTTGCAAAGATCAGTTCCTTGCTTCGGGAACCGATTCTTCACATTACGATGATCAAAACAGCTGATCGTCAGGTTTTCAAAATGGCCACCGGGTGCTCAAAATAGCTCCCTGCTGTGTTTTTGGATGGATTCCTCACTCTACAGGCACTGAAAATGGCCGCCCCTAAGGAGGATCTTCACTGGACGGTGAGTTTTCAGCCCATTGGAACGCATTGAACAGTTTTCAATGCATTCAGTGGGCTTTTTTATTTCGCTTTACAATGTTTTCGCTGAAACAAATTAACGTCGTTAAGCGAGGCACCACTGTACAAGGACCAAGTACAAGTGTGGACTATATAGAATTGGTAGGAACCCACTTCATAGGAAAGTTTATACTGTAAGATGGTTTGGATACAGCTTTGAACAATATGAGGTACTTGAACAACCTTTTAGAGCTCTGGCAGAATGGCTTTTTGAACCCCCTCATCCACCCGGTGTGGATCACCCAAAAGGCCCACCTGCCCTTTTCAAGAGCTCTCTGGTTTGTTTGTTTGTTTGTTTTCAAAGACAATACTTTAAACTATTTTAAAATAAATATTCTCTCTCTCTTGGTTTATAGTAGATGCAGTACAATAGTATGGGATCATATGATTTTATGTCATTATTTTTGATTATGTAATGTTACAGTACTTTCGCTCTGGTATCAGCTGGTATAGATGTATAGGCAGAAGGTTGGTTCTGAATTTCTTTTGTAAAGGGTGCTAGTAGTCATTACTTTGCTGGAAGAAGGCATGGCATTTGTCACAGAAAATGAGACAGGGATGCAGTGGTATCGATTTTCTGCTTCTGGCTTTCCCACAGGTAAATGACTGACCACTTAGTGACAGTGTTTTGGACCAAATCATCTACTCTGCCATAGTTTTTCATGTTTTTAAGACCTCAAGTTAGTCTTTCCTCCAGCTGTGTGGATCCTGGTGAAAGTCCCTGTCGTAGCTGTAATATCCAATGAGATAAACAGCTAGCCAGCTCTCCTAGTTAGACCAACACTACCAAAATTAAAATTTGAAGCTAAGATTTTTGCTCGGAATCTGAGACAGCTGCAAAAAGCAAATCTAATCTATTAATCCTGCACTGAAGGCACACAGAACGACAGATTAACTTAAATCCTAGTCATGTCTGCTGCAACTTTAGTGAGGCTTATTCCTAAGTGTGTGAAGGATTGCAACCCAAAAGGTAGCTAAGAATTTAAGCTATAAATCCACCAGTACAGTTAGGTCTCTGTTATAACTATATATGCCAGGAAAGAAAGGAAGGAAGGAAGGATTATTTTAAATTGAATTCACCAGTTTAATGTCAAAGGACAGATAACCAGTTCTATTGTTACATACCAGTAGCATTCAGTTTTAAAGACTTGAATGCATTCAGTTTTAAAGATCTGAAAAACAACACTATTATTGAAAAAAAGACTGCTATGGATGTGACTTTATCATGGGGCATAATGGAAAGTGTATCTTCTCACAGTTCGAAAACAAATCTATTAGGTCTCAATAGCAGCAGACTCCTACAGTCATTTCAGTTTGACATAGATCCATGTCTTCCCACCCACTGTCCAAGTCTGTATTTGTTGGAGTTAGATGATTTGGAGACTACTCCCCACCCTCTTGAGATGAATTAGTGTGTTTTGAAAGAAGAATCTTGTATAGCCGTGCTTCTTTGAGTTTTTACTTTTATATTTCACTAACTGCCTGGATAGCTTCGATACACTCAAAAAACCCAAGAAGGGTCGCCGTAAGTCAGAATTGACTTGACAACACTATTATTCTTACAATTGTTTTTTTTAAAAAATGGTCAGCACCCATTTCCAGCAAAGACAACACTAGGGTAAAAGAAATGCACATGCGGTCCAGGGGAGAGGTGAAATCTCTTTAAAACCATGGCTGCATTTATATCATCCCACAATAATAATTTTTAAATTGAACATTATTAAATTGAATAGTTTTGTTGAGAATAATATGTTATTAATATCAGCTAACAGTAAAAATAGTTTATTCTTTATTTTGGAAAAAATGAATAGTAGAATACTAGAATCATGGAAGGAACTCAAAAGAGTGATCTGATAGATGGCCATCCAGACTAACCTAGAATAGGCTGACTTCTCCTGTTTTAAGAACAAACCACTGCTGAAAATGGTAAAAGGAGCATGCATTTTTTCCAGTTTAGAAAACATGCCCAAATTCCCACTGCCTTGCCAAAGGGCAAGGGTGGTCTAAAACTGGAGAGAATTCACAAATACTAGTTGAGTTAGAGGTGGCTGAATGGTAGAGGCAATTGCATCAGGGAGTTGATACTCGCTCAGTGTTGTCGGATCAAATACTGATCCATACATTTGGGAATAATCAGGGCTAGCAGTCCTGTGAGGAAAAGAAAAGGATGTCATTAAAACCAAAACTTCTTAAGTACTGACAGGCTTTGTCATAGGATGTGTTTTACTGAGCTTAATCTCTTGTGTTCCAACTAGCTTTGTTTTGTGATTGGACAACAGAAGGTGACTGTGGTTTAATTTGCAAGTCTGATTTTCCAATATCTAATCTGTGAGGAAATCACACTGTGAAGAGAAAGAGGACTACCATCTTCTGAATGTGAATTGAGTGTGTTGTCCAGATTGACACCAAGTGTTTTCAGGGATACAAGCACAGGATATGGTGCAGCCACAAGGCTCCAAGAAGGCCTGCTGACCCATCTGCCCATCTCTCTTCCTTCTTGCTCTTTTTCTTCTTGCAAGAATTGATAGGAGGCAAATGGCACCCACACATACACAAGTGGCCAATACCTGTGATGGCTTTAAAGTGTGTTAGGCAAATCCATGGAGAAGAAAGCTATGAGTAATTACTAACCTCAGATGGCTGTGAGTGAATTCCAGTATTTGAGTCTGGAATCTTCTTCGTTCACTTGTTCTGTTTGCACAGCAGGCTGCGTGTAGTTCAGTTTTTTGGGGGGTGGGGGGTGGGGACAGTGAATCTGCTTCAGATTTTATACCAAACGTTAAAGTTGCTATCCAAGGTGTAATAGTTCATGTAACGTTCAGACCAGGACAGGTTCCACACAACATTCCCCCCCCCAAAAAATGGAGTTGCTAGCTCCTGCCCGTTTGTTGTGTGAGTAGTAAGATATTTGCAGAACTTGCAGAATACCTGTTAGCTTCAATGGACAGTCTCTCTCTCTCTATGCAGTGGAGACTGGGTGGAGTTGCACTGCAGGAGTGCTGCATTCCACTGACAGTCAACTGGATTCTTCCCAAAGATAATATGCTTCACACTACCAGTTGTCAGGGAGTTCAAGCAAGGGAGAGTGTTATTGCACCCCTGACTCATCTGTGGCTTTTCCAGGGGCGTCTATGTTCTTCTAGATGTAAGAACATAATTCAGGACAGGACAGACATCCATCACAACTCTTCCTATGTCTTGAAATGTAACCTTATCCAAAAGCAATGCAAGATAATCTAAGGACAATTGCTGCCTGAGAGTCTTTGAAGTGAAAATGTTTGACAGCTCACACCCAACACCTTGTGGATGAATTGCACACACCTTTCTTTCATTGGTTTCTTTCATTCATTGAGGTTTTTTAGGTTGAGTCAAATCAAGAGCAATCAGACATGGGTTTGACATTGACCACACAGCTCCATCCTGAGCGTTATTTGGGCTGTAGGAATGAGTGTGCCTTAAAGCACACCATGCCAAATGAGCCACAGGAGCTTAAAATGTTGAGAGGATTGGGAAAACAAGCATTGATTGTACTTTCTCCTGATATAGCAAATTCACTTGGATGGCTTAAGTTGATTTAGCTAGGATTAGCAACACTAATTCTATGACACTTTGACAGCTTGAGTAGCCTCCCTTCCCCCTTCTTGAATTAGTGATACT